TTCGCTTGGCCAAGTCACATATACAATCATCCACCAATTTTATTTTACAAATTAGGGCACTTTTTTGGTAACCATGTGTATTCAGGTCTAACTTGTTTTCACCTCGATTAATTCCACGGCCTTAAAGTTAACAGTCAAACAAATCTCTAGAGTGGCCATAAATCATAATGGGACTTGGACCGGTGTCTATTGTAGGGAATTTTTGTTGGTTATCTCTCGAGTAGACTAGCTTTCCTCTCAACAACGAACCAACGATAATGTATGATATTTTCTTCACCGTTGAAGCTGTAGTCATCATCATTGTAAGCACCGTAGATAGTCGACAAGTTCTCGGTGTCCTCCACCTGTGGTTTTTCTCTTTCAGGATTAATTTCCACATGGAATTCGGGTGTCTATGTTTCCTCTTTATTGCTCTATTTTTCATGTGATGATTGTTGTGTGTATATGGTATGAGGGTTTGATTAATGAATACATTACTTAGCCTCATCAATCCATTTCTGCATTATAATCGATACTAACAATACGTTTCGGGGCCCCGAAATTTTGGGACCTAAATTTACATGTGGTTAGGGTCTTTTTATCGACTTGTGTAAAACTATAGCTGAAATTATTCAGGTTCAAACTATTAATTGTTTGGTTTTAGGTTCAAATTATTAATGGTTTAGGTTTAATTTTAGATTGTTAATCGTTTTAGGTTTAACCCATGTTTGTTCTTATCATATATTCTCTGATATCTCATTTGTACAATGTTCTCAAAAGTTTTGGATGTAGCAGGGCCTCCAAAAAAATTGCAACGTCCCTGATTGCTATCATGCAATCGAACATAGTTTAATTTCTTCTTGGAATGCTGCTACCATTTCTAGAAGAACTACTAAAAAGACTAGTCTAGCTTGTATATAAAACTTAGCTAAAGCATTTCATGCTCAATGTCATGTAATTACTGTTTCTAACGACATGAAGATTCAATGAAGATGATCTCATTTCTTGACTTCCATATTAACCATGTTAGCACAGGGGCGTTAATTGCCCAAAACTTTCTAACCTCCGGTTTCAAGCCTTGGTATCGCTCTTGGTTGAATTGGACTAGGAATGTGGCACTACAATGAAATCGGGTTTGTAGAACACTCTTAATTTCTAAGCGTTTGAATATACCTCTTTATAAGACTTAGTTTACACAACCAAAAAAATAAAGTATCCAATCTAAAAGCGTTGTAATAAGTTTATATAACGTTTTTTGACGTCGTAATAAGTTTTTTAGGACATTCTTAATATAAAGCATCTCATTAGCAACTTTATATAACACTTTTTAAAAAATTGTTCTATAAAAACAAATGTTCTATAACAAATTGAGTTTATAGGATACTTTCTCAAAAGTAACCTATAAAATTGCTAATGTGACGCTTTGTATTAAAAATGTCCTTAAAAACTTGTTAAAACGCCCAAAAGCGTCATATAAACTTATTACAACACTTTTAGATAGGACGTTTTATATTTTGGTCATATAAATTAAGTCCTATAAAGCGGTCTATTGGGACGTTTAGAGATTGAGGGTGGCACCGTTTGACTATGAAAATAACACTAACATGATTCGGACTTGCGTGTGGGGTGGAATAAAAGTCTTGCAAACCAACTCTACCAAATAAAACTTGTTTTCATTGTAGTTTTAAAATACATATGATAGCACACAACAAATTAATATGGTTGCACCATTCATGAAACCTAATTTTTTACCCTTCGGCAAAGAAATAATACGGTGGCACGTGCCACCTATACCACATACATAGGTCCGTCCATGCTATAAACCCAATTTTGTTGTAGTGTGGAATACCCATAATTTTCCACCCAGCTAGAACACAACAAGACACGCTATTTAGCTGAATGACCTACAAAACTGACTTCAAAATAATCTAACCTTTTAGTGTGTTTTTACGGGTTTTTTTGGGAGGGGGGGCCGTTTTACACGAGAGGTAGACTGTTCAATTCTAGAGGGTCATTGATGAGTTAATTGTTTTTCTGTCAGTCATGCTTCTAACCGAAAACTTATTTAAAATCATCGACAAAAACACTAAAAAAATATCTTGAAATCAACCAAAAAAAACTTTAAAAATTCCCTCGAAAACGTTGTAATTAGGTTAAAAACACATCGGACGATTTTGCGGGTCTTTAGTCTACCTTAAAGGTGACCCCGCTGAACAAAAATCCTGGATCCGCCACTGGTCTAATGCTTTCCTCCCTCTGTAAGTTGCATTATATATTTTGAACTTCACATTCCTTATAAATTTGAAATGGATATAAAAGTATCCATGCAAAGTACTATAAACACAAAAAGGAGCTTCAGAGTTCAAATAATTCAAGGAAATTTAATTAGTTTTTATTTATATTTATTATAGATATGACTTTTCTCACTTCTCTTATAATTTTCATTTTGAAATAACACACCAAGCAATCTTGGATCACATATATTTTTTTATATTACAATTACATAAGAAATCTATCCACACTTGATAAATGAGGGTACAATCCCATAAATGACTGCAATAAATACCAGAACAGTAGTGCTAACAGTTGATTCTTCTTATCACCGAACGCGGACCCAAATGCCTGGACTCGGAATTTCGTTATGAACAACAAACAGAAGATAATTACCGGCCGGAGCAATGTTACCTGAAGGAGGTGCGGTCACATCGACTGTATAGTAAGACTGTCCAACAACCTTACTGGAATTGCTACTGGGAAGGACCAATAATCTTTGATTCATTGAGAACGAGTGTGTGTTAAACGAAGGTGCTACCATTGTCACCGACACCAAACTCGGGTTCACTGGGCCCGGTACCGTAAATCTGATAACCATCTTTTTGGAGTAGTGCATCTTGGTTTTGGTCTTGGGAGAGATTATGTTGGGGCGTAACGTAGATAAGCGTGGATCAAGATAAGAAGGTGAAAATGCCTCTAAGCTCAATTCTGTCGGGTAAAGTACATCTGTGAATACATATTTATCATGAGGGTTGCTTCCACCTACAAGAACCCGACCATCTCTTAGCAAGACCGCTGTGGAATGGTAGACTCGAGGTTTGGTGCTTGGGTTCTGCACCTGAAATCTAGACCCAACAGGGTGGTCAGGTCGGTAAAGTACTGGGTTCAGAACCGGGTTCCTCCCAAGCTCCCATCCTGCAGACCCTGCCGACGCACCATTGATGTTCAATACATGGCCGTTTGGAAGCAACAGCAAGTCACCTACTACTCTAGCTAAAGGCATGGTTTCCATGAGCCATTGGGGATTTTGGTCGGATATATTGATCCTACCGCAAGTATCCAAGGCTCTATCAAATTTCCCATTTAATGCATTAACGAATGCTCCTTTGGGTGCACCTCCACAAACCAGTACTTCAACAGTATTTACTGTCCCTTGTTGTATCCGCAAAGGCAGTAGTACCGCAGAGCCGGTGCTCGGGTAATTCCTTGGTTGACCACCGGGCATTGTTGGGTAACTCCGGACAACCTGATTCTTTGAGTAGTCGAATAAAATAGCTCGATTGTTTGCAAAAATGAACAAATTTCCATCAGGATTGAGAAAAACAAATGGGTACAAATTATTTTCGATGTTAGGCTCGTTCGTTTGAACCAGAAAGGGTAAACTGTGAGAGTTCTCGGTGGTTGACGCCTTCGGGTAGAACTCATAGTTAAATGCTTGACGACCGCCAATGATAATTTGACGACCGTCAGGCAATATATGATTGGTCGCGTACCATCTCTGTTCATTTAACGCGTTTGGTATCTCTCGCCAATCGCATGCATCACATGATCTATAAGTTCGAACGACACGAAAGCCTTCACCCCAGCCACCAGTCTGGGTCAATCTTCCGTTGGGCATTAAAGCTCCAGAGGAACACCAAACATCGGTGAGCACCATTAGTGGACGTATGGAATTGGAAGCAACATCATACTCAACAGAATGGGCTGAGCAGTCAGTTGAATTGTGGCGGCATTTGCCATTTGGAAGGGAGATTTGCGAGGTGCCAAAGTCGGTGCGATCGAACATGACTACACGATCGTTAGGGAGTAGCTGCATGTGCATGGCGGAGATGCCAATGCTTTGGAGGAGGATGGACCATGATCCGCCTGCGGCAGGACATGGTGGAGCATGGAGGAGGAAGAGGAAGAAGAAGAGAAGAGGGTGATAATGGAGGGAAGTGGAAAGGGTCATGAGTTGGGGGTTTTGCGTAATATTTGTGGGGGTTTCTTGTATCCTGGGGGGCTGGTGGCCATTTAAGTACTGGTGTGGTTGAGGCTGTGAAAAGAGTTGGTGCTGTTAATTTTGCTTTATTGAATCTGATATATGTTAATTTTTCTTGCATGCACTACACATTAAATTATTAATGTAAAATATATGAAATAATTAATTTTTAAATAATATAAAAAATAATGTTTAATTTTGTATGTAGTGTTTTTTTTTTTTTTTTTTTTTTT